CACAATAAGTTATAGTAATAAATTAAATAAAATTATATAATTAAAATAGTAGTGTTATAAAAATTCTAAAAAAAGGTTTGTGCAATATATAAAGCAGAAGAAAATTACCTATTTACAAGAATTTAAGTATAAAAATTAAAACGTAGAAAAGTGAATAATTACAAAGTTCAAAGTTTACATTTAGTTTACATTTTCTTCTTAACAAGTTTTTTTTTGTTTATCTTTAAACAACGGAGAACGTGTTAATTATTACTTTTACGCCAAGACAAGTTTCATGAAACAAGTTACATAGTTGAAAAATTACTTTCCAAGCTAAAAGTTTCTGTCAGCATTACCTACGCCTGTGTTTTTATTAAAACGTATTAAAGTTGCGATGAAGAAAGGGGAAGGAAAGAAAATATGGCGAGGAAAGTTGTTTTCGATTTATTTTGAAAAATTTAATCAGTAACGGGAAGAACATACATGATTGGAAACAATATTTTCATAGAATATTTTCATACAAAAGCTCATTATTCTGAAAGCACAAAGAATATCGATCTCATATCTCTTTTAACGCACGAGCTTTCTGTTTTCTGTTTTCTATTCCAACATTGATAAACTGTTTCATAGTTTCTGCAAACCAACCTTCTGCACTCATTACCGATGCACACTTCGTTTTCTTTCTTCGTATTGCCTTACTAGTTCTCTTTTACTTTCGTATTATTTTTCCTCGTTTATTTCATTTTTCATCTTTTTGCATATTTATTTTCCCTGTAAAATTTGTGTTATTTATTTTATCTTTATTTCTATTATTTCTTTTTTTTTTACATAATTATAAAATAAAGATATATAATATAAATAAACGTTAAATCGAAAATCGAAAGTTTTATCTTTTCTTCGATGATTCAAAAAACGTAAAATAGATAAAAAAAAGAAAAAAAGTATGAGTTTCTATATCCTCCTGTAAAATCATTTTTATATTTTTAAAAAAATTATCAGAAATATGTTCGAAGAGATATATTATTACTATAAAAATATAAAAAGTACATATTGGAAAAATAAAGATTATTTTTTATACGTCGTGCCCCCATTCATAGCAAATAAAACACTTGTACAACTGGAAGTAAAATCATATTAGAGAAATATCGAGAGAGGAAAAATGTAATAGAATATAGACTCATAATAGAATTGAAACTATCAATGTTTTTATCCTTATCTATTTTCCTTATTCTTCACACGTTAAATTTTACAAAATTAAAGTTAAAACTAAAATAATAAAAAAAAATGTTCGTTCTTAGATACATGTTGCTCATTAATTTTTATAGAAAATAATGCATCCATTCATTATAAATATTATTATATATATTATATATTATTAGTTATACAACCTTCCATCCTTAATATATCCATCTTCCTCGTTCCCTTTCCCATTCACTTTCTATTTCCATTTTTCTTCCTTTTCCTTCCCCCGTTCCTTCTGCACGGAAACAAATTTAATCGTTCCCGTTTACACGGCAAACTTGTCTCGCGGCATTCCGTGACATCTCTCCCCTCTACCTGCAATTTTTCACAGGCGACAAGCAAGCATCGTCACCGGTTGACGATTCATATAACCGTGCCGTACCACACGCTGAACACTTGTTTAGCGTCGGTGCCGTGACGTTCGATAAAGACAGGATCTGAAATCGAGAATAGACGTGGGCGAGCGAGTGCGAGCGGGAGGAGGGGGAGGGGAGTAATGTTACAGATCGTTACACCGACAAGAGTCACATCCGTTTCTACGTGTGTACTTATGCGTGTACGTGCGCTGTGAGGTATTCTGGACGTGTCTCCCAGCGACACGCCATCCTTCAACGTCGAAACCACCCTCTTTACCTTCCGACCAACCCTCCGTTTGCGACAACCTACCAGCCACTACGTACAACCGGTTTGCCTTCGGCCAGCACTCGACACGCGTTGCACGTGTAACACAAGGTAATGACACGGACCTCGTCCATCCTCGAAACGATGCGCTCTCCTCCGTTTTCTAATTTCCTATTTCTTCTTTTTCTTCTTTTTTTTCTTACACATCGCTGTCAAATTTGTTACGAAGGGTCGTATGGAAAAATCGTTTTTTGCGATGGATGGTAGTGTGAAATACAATAGTGGTGAGAAAGTAATGTCAATGTTTGTGTTACAACTGTTGGTTTTTAAATTATTTGAATCTTTTTAATATTTAAATATTGTTGCAATTCATTGTATAATATAATATATTGATGTTGTGTTATTGTTTCATATTTTTCTGAAAGATTGGAATAAATAAAATAATAAAATAAAGCGGAGTGTTTAAGATAAATTGATTAAAATTTCATAGATAAATGTGAATTAAAATTTTTGTGTTTGTTTTAATTTGTTTTATCTTTTAAAGAAAGATTCTTTTTCTGTATTCTCTTGAATACAAAATTTGAACAAAATTGTTGGACTATTTATTGATACATTTATTTCGAAATAGAAAATATTATTATCTCGTTCTTTCAAGTGTTTAATTCACATTGATTTATAAATAAAAATAGAATACTTT